GTGCTGGTTCCCGTCGTCCCGCTGTTACCTCTCCGAGCCTCCCCCGGGGAGTGGGCGCGGGGGGAGTGGGCTCAGGGACTCAGAAGGGGGGTGCGCATGGGGACCCGGGTTAGGGAGTGGGCTCAGGGACCTGGGATGGGGAGTGGGCTCAGGGATCCGGGGCAGGGGGAGTGGGCGGGGCGACCTGGGAAGAGAGGGAACGCAGGGGACGTCCTGGGGGCGACCCTCAAGGAGAAGGAGATGCGGCCTGAACCCCAAGTGCGCTCGCTCCCCGTCGGTGATCCCAGCCCACCTTGTGGAGTTGTTCACGCTGCTGCACAGGTCCCGCGTCCTTTGTCCCTCGTCTGGGCCTCCCACACCGTAACTGTGGCATAAGGGACAACTACAGACATTGGGATTTAAGTAAAGGAGTGAAGCTCTCAGTCCATGTAACTAAGGGTTAGTGCCCACCAATCTGACCGTGCGAAGCTGGTGCCCTCAGTCACCTCAGGGACCGTGTTCCTTTTTAGTCCCGTGAACCGTTTCTGGTATAAAATGTTCAGACCCCGAACTCGGTTCTTCGTGAAACCACCTGCAGTCTAGGGCAGAGGAACTTGGAATCAGGCTGAGCAGAGGAGGGTGGACAGCAGCAGGACTTCATAGTTGTGGAGAGAAGTGTGTTTTCCAGAGCTGAGAAGTTCAGCGTGGCCAGACTAGAGACCAGGTGGAGTAAGGTCATTGGAACAGAGGAGAGCGGGAGTGGGCTCTAGGCTACCTCACCACAGGCTGGGAGCCCAGGAACCAGGTGGGATGTGGGATCAAAGGGAGACTAAGCCAGGTCCAGTCAGCCATAACCAGACCGCCTCAGGTGACCTGTGGAGTCACCACACAGCAGGAACCTAAAAGGAGCAGATGTGCTGGGAGGAGGTGGGAGTACTAACTTGGGAGCAAGGACAGTGGTTCTGGTCTCCAGATACTCAGTGCGTGGCGTGTCCTGAGGGACCGGTGCCCATGTCCTCAGCAGGAGTCATCTGTCCATGAACACAGGAAAAGGGAACACTCAATGAAGAGTTTGAGAACTGGGGAAAGAGAGATGACTAGAGAAGGGAATTGTTGCTTTTTCACCTTTTGGGGAGAGGGGAGTCGTGGCAGGAGTGGGCAGTGGAAGGTGGGCTCATGGGAGGGAGGGTGGAGCAGTGTTTGGACGAGAGCGTGGGAGCCAGCAGGTGTACTCTGGGCGTTTATCAGGGGGATGAAAATGTGTTCACACGAGGACCTGAGCATAAGTGTTCACTGCACCTTTATTTGAAATAGCCCAAGTGTCCTACAGGTGAACGATTAACCAACTGTAGTACAGCCTCACCATGGGTACCCAGGGAATTATGCTGAATGAAGAAAGCTGGTTCCAAAAGATTACACACTGTGTCATTCCATTTATATGACATCTTTGAATTTTAGAAATAGAGAACAGATAGGTGATTGCCAGGGGTTAGGAATTGGGGGCTTGGGTGTTCATGAGTGTGGTTATGATGGTTGCACAATAATGTGAATGTACTTAATGCCACTGAATTATACACTTAAAAGTGATTTAAATGGTAAATTTTGCATTATGTATAGTTTATCACAATACAAAAAAAAACAGGAATCAAAGTGGAACACACATCTCAGATGTGTTAGGCATCTGTTCTGGTTATCTATGGCTGTGTCACAGAATCACCCCAAAACAGTGACTTTAAACATTTATTTTGCTTACAAATTTGGGGTTGGCTGGGCCCGGTCATAGCTAGGCAGTTCTCATCCAAGGTCTCCCCTGTGGCAGCCATCAGAGGGATCATCGCAAAAGTTTTTCACTCATGTGTCTACCTGGGGGAAGACCCAGACACCTGAG